TTTAATTACAAAGTATTTGAATACTTTAAACTTTAAAGGATTTGAATACTAAAAAGATTTACAAAATCGAATACTGCCCAGCTCTGATTAATATTAATGTGTCAGTTTTGACAGGAGTCTGGTAGTGTGACGGGAAGCAGGTAAACTGTCACTGTCATAGAAACGAACAGGTCCTGACATAAATTAGGCATGAAAATGAAGGTTTCAGAACGATTTCGAAAAAAATTATGTAATGCCTCTTACCGTAAATAGCCAATAAGACCGATTAATTTTGTAATGCATACTTCATGGAAATCCCTACAAAATTGCCAATAAAAAGAGTATAAATTAGATTTGAAAATGCGTTGAACGAACCACTTACGACCTCATCAAGTTCGAGTCTGTTTAAACTTTTCAATCTTGTATCCCATAGGAAAGTTTGTGTTAAATTGGATTTCGGAGCACATTTTTCTTAACCGAATGCCGCCACTCAATTTGTTGCTCTGGAATTGTTGGGGGAACAACACGGGTAATTAAAGTCGACAGTTTACTTACTTGAAAGGTGCGCTATCGGGGTTGTCGATTATTTGTTGCGACGTAAAGGCAAAAACGTTAATAACTTTCTAGAGGAGTTTTACATTTTTTTCCTGTTGCATTTGAGGTAACGCCAAAAGAACTATTTCAATAATCCGGCAGCTCTCTCCTTGAGCAATACGACTAAAAGTCGTTCTCATTTCCTCTGATGGTTGGAGATAGTTTTTCTAAGTTTACTAAACTTACCAATTAAATTTAATGACTGTCTTGTGTTACGTATAGATAACGTATCGTTTACAAACCTCCAATAAACGTTATGAGAAAAATCTTACGTAAAGTATCAAATTTAAGGTGTCCGTGTACTTCCACGTGCAATTCTCTAATTACCAATAACTCCGAAAGATTACTCTGAAAACAATCGCCCTCACCCCCAGGAAACTTCCTTATAGGCTAATTCTCCAGGGCCAGTCTTTTTTTCGTCTAGAACACGATTATTTCTAGAGTCTACGTTCAGTAAAGATCACTCGCTTTCGGCACATTTTGAGATCCTCTGTAGTCACTTAAGGAATATTTTTCCTTGCATATTCACACACAAGAGTGCTCCTCCGGAATATTCCCTTTTATACCATTTTTTGAAATTATTATTTTCACCCTCGGAGTATTTGTTCCTCAAGTTTCTCATTCTTTTACAAGAGTATACTTCCAAAAACCGCCGTTTGAATTAAGAAGCGTTAATGGAAATCACATTGCTGACAAAGTGCTTTTGTTGGAGCGGGAGTTTTATCCCAGGCCGCTCATTTATGAGTGATAAAACTTACCCGAAGGAACATTTTCGAGAAGGAGTGCTTTTAACATCAAGCCGTGAGTAAATAAAGCGATATTTAAACTCATTGTGATAAACGGAGATTTTTTTCGTATTGCTAATAGTAACGGGTGTTTAAAATCAAGTCCTTTTAAGTTTAAGTGACGTCATTGAACAGCGCCTTGTGCGATAAATAATATTTTGCATACAGCAGGAAATTTAAATTAATATCAACATAGCGGAATATTGGTAATATTATTCCTTTGCATAAGTTGATTTGCTCGGGTCACCACTGAAGCAATTATACCATTGACACGATCTATTTCCAAAGAGAGATAAGATTAATTTGTTCACACACGAAAATGTTACCCACGCTAACAATAATTATTGTAAGTTATTTTAAATTTTTTGATTTCTATAAAGTAATAATGGTTGGATATTTTTAGGAATTTTCACAAGAAATTTTGTTCGAAGTAATTTTAATATTCCTAAAAGAATCGACCTATGAAACAGATTTTGTATTGAATTTATTGATAAGAATCGAATCCAAACAAAGGATTTGGATTGAGAATTTTTTAAATCTCAATGATACCACTAGTTTCATTGGATTAACACTTTTGTTTAGTATTTAGAGGTGTGCGTACATTTTGAACATGAGAACATCCCAGTAATTATGTGGTGACGATGTATTTTAGATGAATATCAAAGGGCATAGAGACATGATCACGAAGGCATTGATGCTGTATTTTCTAGCAATGAAACCAAAATTTGGTATCCAGGAAAATATGAAGAAAAATTGACCGCCTTTCCTTTTATTAACATATTCAACTAAGTTTATATGCGTATTTATTGGAGTTCAATCAAACCAGAGCACAATTTTTTGAATTTCAGGTTTTAAGGGTAGATAATGGACCAAACAACCGGCAGATAAGGGCTGCAAAGAACACTTCTATTACTGAGCTAGCCGTGGGTAAAGTAAAAATTAATTGTCATCTTAAAATTTTTGCCAATGCCGTAGAGGTTCAATTTTCTTTTGCGCAAGTGAGGCTTTCGACCCTTGTAAATGTAACTATGCCGTTACAACATATTTTTACCATTTGTTTTCTCAAAGCTCTCATTTCTTTTTCATAATTCCACATTCTACAACCCAAGAATTCTCATATGGCCGCCTATACTTTCCCTAATTTCACTCATTTTCCCTTATTTCTATACATACGCGCAACTAGTATATTCTGCATCCACATAATTAATTCGCCACGTGCTCTAGGATGTCACTTTCAATGGGAAAAGGAGATTCATCTCAAATAATTTTATCAAGAGAGCTCAAGGTGACATTTTAGGGACAAAATTGGCTAAAATTTAAATCTACCTGACACTTCAGGAGTATTTGTGGTCAAAGATTTCCAAATATTTTCCAATTATAAGTACTCGTATTTGGACATAAAATCGTGCCGTCAGAATGTGTGTCTTTAAAAGGCTGGTTCCAAAAGAAATATATGGTCGGCAAGTTCAATTCCTCCAGAAAGAAAAGTCACCCTTCACTTCCGTGTAGCCAATTCTAATTACCCTTTTTCTGTATTCGTATGCTGGAAATTCGTCTTGGCAACGTCCACCCCAGAAAATTAATCCACAAAAAATCCACTCGCCTTATATCCACTGGGAAATTATTCTCATTACAGAAATTAATCTCCATCTACCATTCAATTTTCCCTAACCACGTGCCCTTAGAATATTAGACATTAAGAGGGGTTGTTATTTCCATGCAAAATTCCAATCTTAAGGAAATTGCACAGACAAATTGAACAGAAAAATATAATGGTAAAAATTTTACAACATCAATAAATTTTTGATATGAAATAATTAAATCCGCGGCTAGCTCAGTAATAGATAAACATCTAATGACTTAAAGTTGGTTTTTTATCTCCCCTTGTAATTTAAAAATTAAAACCTGGATCACTCTCAAATTACTCATGTAAATTAGATTGCTTGATTATATTAATAGAAAATATTTCCAACTCTTTTATTTATCTTTCGTAATTTAAAATATTGAGGTAATTCACGCAACAAGTACAAAATAAAATTTCACTTCCTGCCTCGTGATCATATTCCACATTATCTACTTTTATTAATATTGTTAATTAATAGAACGCCTGAATTGATAAGAACAAAAATCACCAACATTTTTTGTTTGAGTTCGCTTAACATTATAAAAAATATACAAATTTGTTCACGGAATAAAATTTTAAATAAGTTACATTTATCGCTAGTCAAAATATTCTCCAATTTACACTCGATTTTCTCCTTTTAAAAGGTAGCATCAATTCGGAAAATTGGATGGTGGAACGCCTTGTGCTATACAATTAGACCTTGTGTATTCCCTAGTAAATTGGACTACTCGTTGGATTTTTAAAAACTGTCAAAGACTTGAATCGGGGCTCCAGGTTTCTCGAAATTTGGTATTTATACCGGAAAATGTAACCATGGAAATTTGCCCATGTAATATGTGACGGTATACACTCCGCTTCAGTTCGTCCCTGCCACATTGCCCCATGATGAATTTTCCCCAGAACTGAACCCACTCAAAGTTTATTCCAGATGTTTCGCTGGCGAATTTCGCACCCAGAAGAAATACCCGCAACATGTGTGTATGTACTGCTGAATGTTTTCTCTCACAGAATTTGCCTCAATAATATTTTCCCCATAGTATTCCCCCCAGCTCAAATACACAACCATAGAAAGGAAAGAACCTAGAAACTTCGCTCTTAAAATATTTGTCACAGATGAATTTCGAACAAAGGAAAATTAACGCCAAAAAGAAAATTTTTTTCAAGAAATGCGAGTTATCTTTAAGTGCCGGTTCCCTTAACGACCGAATTTTCTTATGGTCGAGCTATATTAGCTCAGAACCTCCTAGAATTTGCCCCCAAATATTCGTTGTCGTAAAGTTCTTCTCTCCAGGGCAGTCACAACATATTTTAGTTCCCTCATTGAATTAATTGAAGCTTTTCGGTTTATTTGAGAAAAATGTGATACATTCGATTTTAGTTTTCCAATGGTTTACGAAAATCCAGCGTTAATCCGACAAGGTGGTGCAGTTGAAGGAAGATATCAACATAATAACAGATTACGCCGCTTGGCATCGCATTCCAAGGAACAAAAGGGCATTGCTGGACTGCTGAATTTGGCGATTTCATTCCAACCATTTGGATAAGTATAATTAACCGTCTCTTATGACTTTCTGGAGCTCTTTAGAGTTTTTTAGGTTTATTCCATAACTCCCAGGTCCTTTTGGAGCTACACAATTCAAGACCTGATGGCTTCTATTGAAAACACAAGAACGGGAAGGTATCTTCACATTTCTGGAACAGCCAGCTTTTATGCATATCTCGCACAAAACATATCACAAGAATCCTACAGGATAATACTAGAAAGGTGGGAGTCCATTACGAACTAAACTATGCAGCGGAGGTAAACCATCCCTAAATTCCTTCGATTGTTCGAGTTTACTCTAATCGTTTATTTGTACAAGAAGTATATAGTTGTTAATCCCTTTGGCGTAAACAAGCATGTCCAACCTGGCGCGTATCTTCCGTCGAAAACTCCGCCGCTTTCGCAATCAGTTGACGCGCATCTTTCACTGCTAACAGTGGCGAATAGTTTGACGTCGGTCGTCGGAAAGCTCAACGCGAAAGTTTTCTATCGCGCGTCGCGGCGCTCATTTAAAAATTTTGGAAACGACACTTTTCCGCGATGAATAAATTCGGCGACTACTTCCGCGCGTTGTAAGATTAATGGAATTGGCAACTTGTATAAAGTACTACTTTAAGTGTTTATGTCTGGGCGTTTTCAAACCGCGCTACAGTAACCAGGTGAGTTTGAATTTATATTCGGGAAAAGTTTCTCGAGGGCGTTTTTCGTTAATAATTTTACGGCTTAAAAAGGGAAGCAAAAGCAAACGGTACGGCTTTCTGGTTTACACAACTAATGGATTTATTTAAAGTAAATTTTATGGGCATACATAAATTATTATCGGTTTTATTGCGGGAACACGTTTCCGTATAATGGACTGCTTAGCCTGGATTAGCCTAGCACGAATTTTGACAGGACTCAATCGGGAGGATAGAAAGTCTGTCGTCTTTGGGGCTTTGGTTGTGAGCTGTAGTCGAATTAGTGGTTTACAATGTTTTTCTTTCTACAAAATATGAATCTGTATCAGCAATAATTCTTAGTCGTTACTAGATTGCCCCAATTCTGTTTATATACTCGCACAATATTTTTCTCAGCCTTTTTGGAAATAACAAGGTGCAAGACGAATAGCTTTATTAGATGTGTGGCATGTACTTTTGAAAGACTCACAAAGTGGATTCTGTTCAGGCTTTTGTGTTACATTGTTAACAAAGCACTGTGTATACATTTGTAAAAAAGTTGTGCTGCTCCTCGTTACTTGATGTTTTAATGTATACCATGGGAAAAGCGTATGAATTATGTTCTGTTGTTACACTTTTCTGTTGTAGATAAAACGCAACCTCGCGTTTCTACGTTTCTCTTTGAAAATCACAAATTTAACTAATTCCAATGAACCACCAAGGGCTCACATTATTTGCACACTTGATATGTCGCTTTATTATTTTTCACACTTCATGTTAATCAATATGTTTGTAAAAACATCACTTGCGTTGTGAAGCTTCTTTTAACAAGCCTAGATAAACAAGTTTAAAAAGTCATTATGCAAACATAAATGACGAGAGCGTATTTTCCTCCTAATAATAGGACCAGGGAAAAATACCGGTAGGCACGAGATCCTTACCCCATTCTCTTTCAAATGAGCCGCGTATCGTCGAAATTTTGAAATGGGCATTAGTTTTACTTTTATTCGAAGTGTCTACATATGAAACTTTCTTTAAATGCTTTCATAAATAGCATTGCGCATTATCTACATTAGAAATTTCATTGAATACCTTCAAAAATAAAACATACAGCATGCATAGACAGTAATTTTGAAACCGGTATTAGTTTTAGTTTCATTCAAGGTGCCCACATAATGATATTTCATTTCACTGCTTCCATAAATAATAAAGTTGCCATTGCGCATGCGCAAAACCAAATTTTAAACCTGATGTTAGATTTGCTTGTATTCTAAGTGCCTATGTATTAAATTTCATTTAAATGCTTCAGTAAATCAGCAACTGGTGTTACATTTGTCTTTCTTCCAAAATGCCTATGTATCAAATTTCATTCAAATACTTTTATAAGAAAAAAAGTTTGCAATTCGGTTTATAAATGGTCGAGATGCGATAAGGGCACTGTGAATTTTGAATCGATTCGACTCAACTTTTGGCATTGCGTATTATATAGCTAAGGCTATGCCCATATTGAATTTCATGCAATTCAGTTCATAACTAACGGAGATGTAAAAGCGATCGCACATTTCTAAACAAAATTATCGTTCACACGGACAGATAGAGGGACAGACAGGCAAAGGAACAGACGGACAGATCAACAGACAGACCAACAGACAGACGACAGACAACAATACAAAATTATAAATGATCTCTAGTATGGTTAATAAACGGCAAAAGTGTAAAATTATGGAACATGTAAAAAACGGTTTGTTGGTTTTTTTACAATAACTTTTTTTGTAAGCGGTACAGAAAAAATTCCTTCCTTGGTGCAAGACTCGACACCATAACGAACCAAATAGCGAAAAAAGCGTAAATTGCTTTTAAGATAAAGAACTAGTAGCGTCGCAAAACGAGCGGACGAACGGACGGACGGACGGACGGACAAAGTGGCCACAATAGCGCATTTTTTTTTATTTTTGTGGAAATGCGCTAAAAATATGGATGCGTTGCAGGAGTTCCATCTCTCCAAAATGCACGATACTAAATAATATCGAATTCTTTTAAGAAAAACCCTATGTTATTTTAATTATGAGATCCAAAGTGGATTCAGATTAAGCGAAGGGTAACGATTATTCAGAAACAGAACAAACTCGCACGACTTTCCAGGGGAACGAAGAAAAAATGGTTTAAGATCCACTATCAAATTGGCCTGAAAATTAAACTAAGGATACAGAAATCATTATTCAGAAACACGATGAACTGAAACCTACCCACCGCAATAAAGATAATACAGTGTTGGTGAAAGTTCTTGGTTGTAACGTGATAAAAAAGTAAGATAAAGGTAGAGGAAAAAACACAATAGTTTCTCACGAGTGCCTAAGTCCCACCAGTACGATAAAAATAATTAAGCGAGTTTCAAATAAACATGATTCAACGTGGTTTAATTAAGCTAAGGGTAGTTGAAACGGTCTTTGTTGCAATAAAGGGTTTCGTTTAACAAAGTTTTGAAATTCTGAACTAAAACTGTACAAAATAATAACTCTTTGCCGTCGCCTATAAAATTCTTTAACAAGCTCTACATTTTTTGGTGGTGGTTGCTTACTGCAGAGTTTTCCCTTTGCTTCTCTGAAATTGAACTACAACAATTCTACAACTATTTTCCACTCATCAGTAAAAACAACACAAAGGTATCCAGTATCCAATATTTACTTTGACATCTTATAAATCTTATAAATAAATAAATACGGCTAGTCTTCTCGTTCATGGAATGGGTTGTTCTTAACATCTTGGTACAGCTCGCCAGTACAATTGAGACATCATCAAATGTCTTCTGTCAAGAAAATGTATTTGGAAACTCACCGATCATGAATTTCTCCGATTTCTCTGATTATTATCTATTGATTACAATGAGCTCGATTTCGGTGTTTCGTTTTTTTCACCGATAAATGGAAATTTAACTTCTAATGCTTTCCGTACACTCAATTTAATGAACGTTGTTACTGTTTAGTATAATAATTATTGGAAAAAATCCTCAGTAAGCACATGCATAAAAAGATGATTTCAGTTATAATTTCGCCACTCGATACTGTTTTATTAAATTAGAAAATAGAAAAGATTAACTCGGGTGTCTGAGGGCCTACTCTGCAAGATGGAAATCTTTTAGTATGGGGTGAAATAAATAAAAATCCACCATTGCACTCGGTTGAAGATATAGCTGAATTATTATCCAGAAGCTGAATAGGCCCGTACGCTTTGTATAAGTAAAGGGGGTGAAACCCACTCCGCAAGATAAAAATAGTTTGGTGAAATAAATAATAAACTACCATTAGCCTGATTACAACCTAAGGTAAGCCTGGCAGTATTAATGTCCAGGAGCGGGCCACTCGTCAAGGTAAAAATGCTTATTTTAGTTTGGACTGAAACATTAAACAAAAATCGTAACCAACTGGGTTCAAAATTAAGCAAACGGCGGCGGTGGAATCATTATTCAGAAAATAGTAAACTTACACGAGGGCGTAAAGGGTGAAGTCAATCCAACATGGTAAAAATAATTAAGTGCCGGTAAAATAAACGAATTTCCGCGATCCAACAATGTTTAAAATTGGGTAGCTGAATTTTTATTTATAAACAGAATAAACCCGAACGTGTTTTATTGAATATGGGTAATTCGCTCCTTTAAAAATTAACACCTACGCTACTTCCTGTTTTGCAGTGGATAGTGCAACATCCAGCGCCCCGTAAGGACACCGGCGATCTTCAGAATCTGGCTTTTATTCAGTTTTTGAAGCTTAGAAGACCCAGATTTGCCAAGGGGCCCTGTTAAAAAGGCCCTGAACCGCCTGAGTCCGATTGCTAGTTGTCACTGTTACTCAATGATGTCCACCTTCGGAACAATGGCCAATGGTAATCCTGAACCCCGCCGCCCATAAGTTCTTGGTGCACCCGCAGCAGCTTTGAGTGCTCCAGAACCTTTAGGATCCTTCTCAAGCTGCTTTGAGCCAGACTCTGGAGTGCTTCCCACCGATCCGTGACCGTTTGGTCCTTGAGGGCGGGTTTCCCCTCTGAGACAACGACCCAGACACAGCTTTAAGCTTTGGCGCAGGACCCGAGATTTTACCATCGACCCGGCGAGTCATCGTCTTCTGTGCGCCAGTCCTATTCTTCTTGCGAATAGGAGCTAGCCCACTACCACCCCCCTTTCGAGGAGCCTGCTCCCTTACCAGACCCCTTTCGATGGCCCAGCTTGTCGGTTCCTCCCTGACGAGGACCCCAGAAAGGGTTTGATAGGATTATCGTCCCCCGAGTAGTGCGGAAATGCGGTTCCACCAGAGCCCAAGGCTTGACTAGGGATACTAACCCATGTTTGATTGTGCCAATTTGTATACTTCACTCCAATTCGTTTTTGAAAAATATTTGCAGCACGTCTGTGAGCAGATCTAAATATTTAATTCATTTCAGCAAAGTATCACTGAAGATTCTCTGAGAAGAAGGTATCTTTGGGAAGTCCCTGAATAGCTCTGAACCTCGGAGTGTATCGTAGTATCATTTTTGAACTTTATTTAAGTACACCCTGTAGTTTTATGTCGCAAGCAGGTGTTTTTTTGCATAATGAGTCCCCAAAAGTCGTTGCGTAATTCAAATTTTATTTGTAATCGGCATTTCTCTTGCATTTGAAGATGGTCCACGCTGAATTGTCACTGATTAAATCAAAATAAAATGTTTTAGGCACAATTGTAAGTTGTAATCCATAATTAATCCCTTCACAAAGGAAATTGAACACCAACCCCTTAGTTCGGCTCCCAATAAATGTTCCAAAACTTCAAATGTTAATCTAGTTCGCCTTTGCTAATAAATTTGTCGGAGATGCCGTCGGTTACCACTCAAAATACTCTGAACGCAAAGTTACCCATAAACCTAAACGAGTACGGGCCGAGCCTTTCATTTTCCTCGAATTTGTACATAACCCTCGCTCTATAATGAAACTTTTCTGCGTGGCCATCTCAAAAACTCGGCGTAGACCTCGTTTG